GGTTCTTGTAGGGGAATCAGCTGTGCGGATGAGTTCATACTGCTGTTAATTGGGCACGTACAAAGTGGAATCGGGGTGGGGTTCTACGTAGGGCAGTTTGCATGTTTTTTTTCGCTTTTTTCTTCACTATCGAGTTACTCACAACCTTGTCGTCCATATGCGAACCCTTAATCTACTATCTGTAGTGGCTAATGATCGCAGATTTTGCCTTTAGCCAAGCATGGACCAAAGCAGGAGTATCATCCCAAATCTGAAAAGTTATCGATTGACTACATTGGAGTCTTTTGCTGTAGCGTTTCCGTGAAGCTCGGAAACAAGTGAACACTTCGTATCCAAGAGGCCCATTACCAGGAACGAATACCGAGGTTGTTGGAGCCCGAAGAAATCAGTGGCCAAAAGAGTGATACTTGATGCACGTCAATGCCATGCTGCAGACGGAGGCTGTAGTCAGCGACGAATCTGCGTCCACATAACCACAAATTAAGTAGTTCGGCTTGAGGCCTCTTTTTTTAAAAAGCGCTACTGATTGAACCTTTGGAATCGTACTGGCCGCTTAAATGAGTATGCGGCCTCTATAATGACCATGGTCAGCTATATACTTTGTATTCCACAACTGGGGAAGGCATGGCTCTGTACTTCATCTGAACGTGGCGACAGCTGCCCTTCTGATAGAACATTCCCATTCAAGTTATAACGTATTGTCTACAATAAAACAGGATGATAGGTATCTCAAATAGAAACACCACATAAAAAACGCATCCATCATGACTGTTCGGATGGGGTACGCAACCACGCCTTCTTCATCTGAGGGATATGAGGTATTATTCGGCAGGATGCGTCCTCGCCACGTACTGCCACTGCTTGCGCTTTCCAACAAGCTCCTTGGCAGTCCATCATATCTTGATAAACCCTGATCAACTGTAGATCACCTCCCCCCAGAACGACTCAAATAGAACCAATCTCACTACATATGGACGGATACTAAAGACAAATTGTACACTCATCTCCGTGGAACCTAGTCTTTGCCATGTGCGGGTGATTAGGCCTGCAGCTGCAGTAGTGCCACTTTCTCCGCTCAAAAGAGCACACGAGAACGGAGCTGGAGGCAGCGCACGCCGTCGCGTTGTGATCATCTCATGGAAAATACGACTCTCCTAATTCCACTCTCAAATACGCTTCTCCTCCCGTGCTACCTACCACTTTCCTAGATTTTCCCATATTTTCCTACCTTTTTCCCGAAATTTGCATGTCGACGGGGGGAGGGTCGTCAAGGTATTTAACTATCATTTTGAACTATTGGAAATAGTAGTTGTATAAATCTTTGACAGTCCTCTCCCAACAACGACCAAATACGACCCCCCCCCTCCCCTTATAGCATCCGTGAAACAACGGAGAAAATAAATTTTTTTTTTGTAAGACAACTACCCCCCCCGTTGTGATCATCACAACGATGGCGTGCCCTGGCTGGAGGGTAGTAATACCATAGTCTCGTCTACCTGCGTTATGCTCAATGTGCAGCATCTGCGTCGATACATACCCTCAGTCAACTCGCAGTCAAACTAGAGAACAACCATAAGTGAGAAGGAGCAGACAGTCAGCGCGTCTGGTCATAGTTAGGCGTGCAGCCGGCCATGGGACAGCGCAAGCGGATACGGGTGACGACATCCGGATACCACTACCCTACAGCCCCGTTCCCAATCACTTTAAACGTAAAACTGGCACTCTACCCCATCTGGGACCCATTTACCTCACACATGGCGAGGACCAGGATTTGCGGAAGCCAATTAAAATTAGTGTCTACTTGTTCCAAGGAAACTCGAGTGAACAAGAGGCTTATTTTGCTATTGTAACGGTAACGAGGTGAAAAATAAAAATGCTAGAAATCTGGCTGCTCCTGAAGGAGGAAACACAGACTAAAGAATGCTCTAGGGAGCCCTCCTTGTTGTAGCTCATTCTGAATAAGTGATAAAGACTCTCTGAGAACCGCTGGAAGAATCTGAACAGTAGAGGCAAGAGAACATGCAAAAGAGCGACACAACGGACACTACCACTGCTAGAGTCTGCTGAGGGTCACTCGCGGTCAGATGGAGCCATTAGGGTACCTTTACGTATCAATTACCCTACCCCATAGTCCCCCAAGCAATCTGGCAATAGAAGGTTGCCAACTGCGAACCGAGCTACCTTCTCGCACACAGAACTTTGATTCTTTTAAGAATCAGCAAAATGAGCCTGGATAGTAGAAGCTTCAGAATACTTGCTTCAGACGGCAGAAAATGGCCAAATTTTGAGGCGACTCCATTTTTTCCAGCAAAATTTTCAACGTCGCTGTAATCCACCATGTAGAACACAGAGCTCGAGGCCAAAATCTTGGTCGTCCCCTCTTCAGTACATAGTCAATCACATAACAAGGGTGAAGAATACTTTTCGTAGAATAAGCATGTTCTTTTCGTACAAGTCAACTAAATAAAAAGTGAACAATTTTAAAAACAACCTCTCTCCAAAAAAAGCTGCGGCCTGCCTACAAGATCCTGTGGCTTTCAAATCTATATGAGTACTTCTATTAGGTTGTCCGGAAAGTTCTCAGCGTTTTGAGTGTTTCACTTTAAACGATCATAACTTTCTTAATACATCGGATTTAATCGAAATAAGCACCATTCGAATCAGCACACTTTTGCCAATGTGACAGCAGTCGAGAAATCCCATCAAAGAAAAAACTGGGTGGTCGAGAATCCACGAAATCCACGAAGGCTTTTTTGCCTGATTGATGTATTTTCCAGCAAGGAAGTTCTGAAAATGTTGGAAAAGGTGATAGTCGGTTGGTGAAAGGTCTGGAGAATATGGTGGGTGTGGTAGAACTTCAACCCCCAATTCGTTCAATTTATGGATAGTGATTTGTGAAACGTGTGGGCGGGCGTTGTCAAAGATCGGACCCTTTCTGTTGACAAGTGCTGGCTGCAGCTGACGCAATTTTCGGTACATTTCGTCGATTTCTTCACAGTAGGACTCTGCTGTGATGGTTTGGCCTGGTGACAAAAAGTTATAGTGGATCACCAGCCGATGACCACCACACTGTGACCATAATCTTTTTTTCGTGAGGATTCGGCTTTGGAAATTGCCTCGGTGGTTCGTCGGCATCCAACCGCCCCCCCCCACTTTTGTCTGCTATCAGACATGATCCCTTTCCATTCACAGGCGTAATAATTTCGGGCTCCAAAACGGGAGCTTCTGTTGCCGCAGAAGCACGTTGAAGAAAAGCAAACCTCGAGACGTGCCCAATTTCATTGCGCTCACTCCAAAATTGTGGGGCACTCATTTGTCGTTCGATGTTGTTTTTCACCTTTCCCAATGCGTTTCAGACCATCCGCAACAGTGGATTTGCCAACGCCTAGCTTTTCTGCAATCTCTCGAACTGTTTGGATGGGTCAGCCTCCTTCAAATCCTCGTCAGGTATTGCTTTAGGTCGACCGCTACGAGGTTCATCTTCAAGGCTGAAATCTCCAGAACGAAATTTGTCGAACCATTGTCGCACGGTGCTTTCTCCAACACTATTGGGCCCCACACCTGGTTAATTTGTCGAGCTGTCTCGACTGCGGATTGACCCAATTTGTAGTTGAAGAAAAATATCGTCCGAAGTTGCTCTTTTGACATGCTTCAAAAAGTCTTGGGAAAAGGGGGTTTATCAAGCAATGGTGAAACGGCAATTATACCATCAGATAGCGCAAAGAATTCTCTTCAGGATGTACTACTGAGACGCAAGGGAGAATGAGTTTTTAATCAGCAATGAATGTACAAAAAATAGTAACACAAAACGCTGAGAACTTCCCGGACAACCTAATACCACGATAAGTTTTTTCCATAAATAGAAAAAAACAGTCGTAAAATGCTGAAAGTATTCAACAATTCCTGGTCAGCTTGTTCAGACAAGCCTACCAAAATAACAAGATTATCTGAGATTTTCATCAGCTCAGCGATAGGGAAAATAAATCACTTTTTTTCCACCTGGCCTTGAAATTTTTTCGCCGGTTTTTCGTTTATCTTTGCCCCTGGGGTGAACGACAGCTGCATGCCCTTATAAAGCAGCCAACGAGGGATAGTGGCAGCCAAAATGAGTCGAACATTTCTCTCGGTGGCAACAGCTTCCATAGCTGTGCTCTTCCTTGTGGCACTAACATGTATAGTGCTTCTCTACATTGACATGAGCTCCTTCTACGATGACGTCATGAACGATTTGGACGAGTTTAAGGTAGGCAGAAGTCAGAGTCCCCAGGAACCTGAACATTTACATCGTATTTTCATGAAAACTGCTGTCTTCAGGATACAGCTAACGACGCTTGGAATCTCATGATGAATTCCTCCGATGCTCCACTTCATCTGTCGTCTCAGCAACGTGGGAAACGTCAGGATTCAAGGCGTTTGCACCGTTGTCGCAATTCAGGGCGTTTGCACAGTTGTCCCAATTTGTGTCCACCAGGGCCCGCAGGACCTCCAGGACCACAAGGAGAAGCCGGCTATGACGGAGAACCGGGAAAGACTGGGCTCCCTGGCATACCTGGCAAATTTAGGGAGTACTTACCATTTAAAGACCTCTGCATCAAATGTGAGCAGGGTCCCACCGGACCGCCAGGCCCTCCTGGAGTAGTTGGTGAGCAAGGACTCCAGGGCCCCATAGGGCTTCCAGGCCTTCCTGGGAAAAATGGTGAAGTAGGATTGCCCGGGCCAAGTGGCGACGCTGGATTGCAGGGACCCCCGGGACCTCCCGGCACACAGGGAGAACCCGGTCTAACTGTGAATTGTGGAGTAGGTGCACCTGGAAAGCGTGGACCACCTGGACCACCTGGACCTCCTGGATTACTTGGGTCCCCTGGACAACCAGGGAGCACTGGATCGCCAGGGAAAGATGGCCCTCAAGGTCCCACTGGTGAACCGGGAAGGAAAGGCGAAGCTGGTAGAGATGGAGACGACGGAGAGCCGGGAGATCCCGGACCACCTGGTCCAGATGGAGCTTACTGCCCATGCACGAGTCGATCGAATCTGACTCTGGAGGAAATGGAATACCTTGGTCTATTATCATGATAAGGAGAGGAGATGTTTGTACAGGAAGGAAAAGATGAAGCTCTTACAAAAATTCTTTGTTCGTGCACTTTAGTCGCCATCAGCTCAGTAGCTGGGAGCGTCCTTATAGTTTCTGTATTGGGTTCATTACTATTATTTATTATATGTATAACAATGCAAAATTCAGAACTACTTATCAAAGACAACACAAAGCGGTTCACATCGTTGGGGTGGGCCACACCTG